GACGCAATTTAGATATATTAGTAGTTGCTTGCTGACGCTGATGCAGTTTTAGACAATGTTAGAAGTAGTTTCTTGCTGACACAGTTTTAGATAAGTTAGAAGTAGTTTCTTGCTAACACAGCTTTATACATATTAGAAATAGTTTTTGGTAATGTAGGTTTGGATATGTTAGAAATAGTTTCTTGCTAACACAAGTATAAATATTTTTAAAGTAGTTTCTTACTGATGTAGATTTGGATTTTTATAAGTAGTATTTTTGCTGACACGGTTTTAGACATTTAGTAGTTTCTTGCTAACGCAGTTTTGGATATATTGGAAGTAGTTTCTTGCTAATACGGTTGTAGATATATTATTGCTGACGCAGGTTTGAATTAGAGATTGGAACGGGTTTGAACAATTCGAGTTTATCACAAAGTTATCCAATTAAATTTAATCCGAAAACATCCCAAAACTTATGTGATAAGGCCATACAAACTTAATAAATTGGTTTTCATAACCGGCCGGGTCAAAATTTACAAAACTCTAAAAAAAATTTTCAAGTATACTTACTATCCGGGTGAGTTTTTAAAAAAATCTATAAAAAATTTTATATGTTTTTTATATATAAAATTTTTTGAAAATAAAATTAAAAGCCGGGTTGCCGGGTCACTTTAAAAATTTTATGTTATGAGAACCGATTTATTAAGTTTGTATGGCCTAAATTTGAATTTTTCAAATCGGTTCCAACTTCTAGTTTGAATATGTTAGAATTAGTTTTTTTGTGGATGTAATTTTAGACATGTTAAAAGTAGTTACTTGCTAACACAGTTTTAGATATGTTAGAGGTAGTTTCTTGTTAATACAGTCATAGGTATATTAGAAGTAGTTTCTTGCTAGGGCAGGTTTAAATATGTTAGTAGTTTTTGTGAAACAGTTTTAAACATGTTAAAGAGTACTTATTGATGCAGTTTTAGATATGTTAGAAGTAGCTTCTTGATAAAACAGTCATAAATATATTAGAAGCAGTTTCTTGCTGATGCAGTTTTAGATATGCTAGAAGTGGTTACTTGCTGACGCAGTTTTAGATATATTAGTAGTAGTTTCTTGCTGACGCAGTTTTAGATATTATAAGTAGTTTCTTGCTGATGCAGCTTTGTATATATTAGAAGAAAAGTAATTTTTTGCTAACACAGTTTTAGGGATGATAGAAGTAGTTTCTCGCTAATGCAGTTTTAGAAGTAGTTTCTTGGTGATACAGTTTAGATATGTTAGAAGTAGTTTCTTGCTGACGCAGCTTTAGATATGTTAGTAGTTCTTGCTGACGCAGTTTTGGTTATGTTAGAAGTAGTTTCTTGCAGATGCAGTTTTAGATAGATATATTAGAAGTAGTTTATTGCTAACACAGTTTAGACATGTTAGAAGTAGTTTCTTGCTAACGCAGGTTTGGATATGTTAGAAGTAGTTTCTTGATAACATAGTTATAAATATGTTAGAAGTAGTTTCTTGCTGACGCAGTTTTAGGCATATTAGAAGCAGTTTTTTGTTGCTGCAGTTTTAAAAGTAGCTTCTTGCTGTCACAGCTTAGATATGTTAGAATAGTTTCTTGCTGACGTGGTTTTGGATATATTAAAAGTAGTTTCTTGCTGATGCAATTTTAGACATGTTAGAAGTAGTTTCTTGCTGGCGCAATTTTAGATATGCTAGAAGTAGTTTCTTGCTAACACAGTTTTAGATATGCTAGAAGTAGTTTCTTGCTAACACAGTTTTAGACATGTTAAAAATAGTTTCTTGCTAACACAGGTTGAATATATTAGAAATAGTTTTTTGCTAACACAGTTATAAATATGTTAGAAACAGTTTCTTACTGATGCAGGTTTGGATATGTTATAAGTAGTTTTTTGCTGACACAGTTTTAGACATTCAGTAGTTTCTTGCTAATGCATTTTTAGATATATTAGAAATAGTTTCTTGCTAGCACGAATGTAGATATGTTCTTGCTGACGCAGGTTTTGAATATGTTGGTAGTTTTTTGCTGAAGTAGTTTTAGATATGTTAGAAGAAGTTTCTTTCTAACACAGTTTTAATATGTTAGAGGTAGTTTCTTGTTAATACAGACATAGTTTCTTGCTAGTGAAGGTTTGAATTTGTTGGTAGTTTTTTGCTAACGCAGTTTCAAACATGTTTTCTTACCATATTCTTCTGACATGTATACACAGGGTATTCCCCTAGTTCGTATTATGTACCCAGGTACTTGTGTAGAGGATATACCGTCTGAATACCTCTATGTTTTTAATACGTTTTACTATTATATGTCTGGGTATATAAGTATGATACCCATACCTATATACCGGGTATAAATCAAGATTTGGCATCCGAAATCGCTGCATGGTACAGCTTATGGGGTACACATGTCAGAGGAATACGGTAGTTTCTTGCTGACACAATGTTAGAAGTAGTTTTTGCTAACACAGTTATAAATATGTTAGAAGTAATTTCTTGCTGATGCCAGTTAGGATAGTTTTTTGCTGACACGGTTTTAGATATATTAAAAGTAGTTTCTTGTGACAGGTTTTAAGTAGTTTCTTGATAGCATATTTTTAAGTATTTTCTTGCTAATGCAGGTTTGGATATGTTAGTAGTTTTTGCTGGCGCAATTTTAGACATGACGCAGTTTTAGATATGTTAGAAGTAGTTTCTTGCTAACACAGTTACAAATATATTAGAAGTAATTTCTTGCCAACACAATTTTAGATAGATTAGAAGCTGTTTCTTGCTAGCGCAATTTTAGATATATTGAAAGTAGTTTCTTGCTGACACAGTTTTAAATATGTTAGAAGTGGTTTCTTGCTAACGCAGGTCCGGATATATTAGAAGTGGTTTATGCTAACTGGTTCCAGTAGCATTGCTTAGGGATGCAGCATTTATTTAGTTATAGGAGATTGACCCTATAATGATAACAAACAGATTCTCATGTTATCAAGTTGTTTTTAATAGAGCCATCTAATAGAGTAATAATAATAAATAATAATGCATTAGAATTTAAGTTTAGTTTATGTTTAATAAATTAAATAACGGCATAAATTATTATAATCATGCGTACGAATAACCGGTTTAATTTTCTTGAATGATCCACGTGATAATCAAAAAATTATAAATACAACCCGAGTACGATAAAAAATTTTGGGGGCTTGCGCACAGGCGCATAAGCGCATTAAGCGCATATAACTTAAGATAAAATTTTTTGACGATGATCATTTCCGTTTCAGTATAAAAGGAAATGTGCGGATCACGAGTAAAAGTGCAACCAATAAATAAGACGATTCACCGCCAATCATTGCCAATCACAAGCTTTATGGAGGTTAAATCGATGTGATTAACAAATCTTCGATGACAATTCGGACTAGTGATGTGTGACGCAACTGATGAGACCTGACGAAACCATGACGCAACCTGACGAAACCATATGTTGCGTCACTGACGCATGACGCATGACGCAACTCAAACATATGTTTTTAAGGGTCACGTGAGCAGTTGCGTCAGGTCACGTGAGTTGCGTCACACATCACTAATTCGGACATGCAAATTATGGATTGGCTAATAAACGTGTCGATGCTCAGTTATAATCAAACAAATAAACATTGGTTGATCGATTCATTATTTATCAAGTGTTGCCGCCGCCAACTTTAGGTCATCGTTGATATTTGATTGTTGTACGAAATGAAGAATTATCGACAAATAGTAAAATTTGTTGCTGACAAAAAATGGCACGCATCGTATTTGTTAACTTTCTAGTATTTTTTTTTTTTATTGTTCATAAAAACTTTCTATAATGAATAAAATAATAATTTGTTGATGATGACAAAGATACTTGAGTGATCTTTTTGAATACTCAATTAATTATAAATTTTGACAAACTAGATATTAAAAAAAGATGGTTTGTGGCAAAAGGCTTGTAAATTGAAATGACAAACTCGGTTAAACTTTTTTTTGCTAACGAATTTATTTTATTCACGTAATAAATTTTATCAAATACGATTATTGCTTCAATATTTTTCACAATAACAAACGCATTTTCCCCCTTAAAATATTTTCCGCTAAGTAAAATTTATTCATCGACACCTTTTGACCCATTGATTAAGGCGTTTGAGAACACCTAAACCATAAATTATTCTATTAAATCGTATGAGGCATAATTGAATCCATTGTAAGAGGCATTAATTCTTTAGTATTAAACAGAATTAATAATTTTTCATTAGATATTAATTTACTATTGTATTCGTTTATTAGATCATCTATTTTTGGTTGGCTTTTGTTAGTGTAAATAATCTCCTTATTTTGTTTATCATCATTTTAAATCTTTCATCGGACTTGTTCAATTCCAATAAGATTTGTTCATTATTTTGCCATTCCGTTAAAATTTCTACGATTTTAACTGTGGATGGACGTCTTTCCGGTTTTTGGTCCCAACATTGTCGCATTAAACTAACATAACATGTATCTTCAAGAATTGGTGGTCTAAGTTCATCGAGCACTATTTGCATTTCTAATTGTAATTGTGATCTAAAGATTTTATTATAAAGCATAGGTATTGGGATTCCATATAAGATTTCCCACATAATCATACTAAATGAGTAAATATCTGATGCTGTAGTATATGATTGTTCTGTCAAAGCTTCTGGAGCTATATATGGTAAAATTCCACAAGACTCTACTTTTGTGTCTGTATTACAAGTCCTAAATATGCAATATATGCACTATGCAAACTGTCTTGTAAAATATTACCACAATATAAATCTCGATGAATAATTCCTTGAGAATGAATCATTTGAAGATCAGAAGCAATACAATGCAATAAATTTAATTTGTTTTCCATTCCATTTGTGCTACAGAGAGTAGATTTTCACGCAAAGATCCCATTGATGCATACTCTATCAGTGATGGTAAATGACCTGGTCATTTGCTTATTTTTTAGATAACCTCAAATGACTTCAAAATGACCGGTCATTATCGGTCATTTGAAAATGACTCATGACCAAATGACTGCGGTCATTTGGAAATGACCACAGTCATTAGGGTCATTAGGTCATTTTGCATATAGAATTGACATCCTATTGGCCACGAAAAACCTGTGTAATGATTCGATCATTAATTTTTAACTCTTAAATCAAAAAATGTAGAACACAAATATTAAATTAAAATATGAAATATGCTGGCTTTTATAATAGTAATTTAAAATTTAAAACTAAAACGTGAACAAATTAACTTGATCAAACGATTTGAGTCTGAGTTTAATTTGTGAATCATGAGTTAACACGATTCTAACCATTAGCTTTATTTAAATTATACAAAGAGGTTAGTAATTTAACTTTAGCTAATTAGTCAAGCCATGACTATAAAAACTCTATCTAATTTTAAATATCATGGGTTTAAGTCAATAATAGCCCAGCCACTACGTTTTGGTAATTTTATGACCTTTTTTAATCGCTATGACATTTGTACATGGGAAACTATATATGTACTGTATTACAGGAAATCATGTATATATATACACAAATAAGAAATGAATAATATGAATAATTAAGCAATTGTTTTTAATGCTCATAATTGTACTGTACAAAATATATAAGGCACCTGATTGCAGCAATTACATTCTTATGGTGAAAATAACTGATTTTGTAATTCAGAATTAAAGGTACTAATGGCCTTACTATTAATAGAATCCAGAACTCGTAGATATATAGCATAGCATAAGTAGTTAGTAGTACAAAAAGAGGAGGAAAATAGCAAAAAGAGGGAAAATAGAAAAAAGAAAAAGAAAAAAGGAGAAAAAGAAAAGAAGAAAAAAGAAAAGAAAAAAAAAGAAAGAAAAAAAAAAAAAAAAAAAAAAAAAAATTTTATAAATGGAAATAAGATTCATGCTGCAATGTCATATTGGACATCTTATACATCTTGTTAAATATATAGAGTGTCAAAATTTGTACATGTATTACCCTTAACTTTTTTTAACAATGGGTAAGAAAAACCATAACTTCTGGGAATTTTTTTACTTGGTCACACCTGACAATCCAAAAGCAAATAAGAAGGCAGTCTGCCTTTTATGCATATGAAAATATACCTTACCTGTGGAGATTACAAAGCCTGAGTGCTTTGTTTCCAATAAGGTGAAATTATGTTGAAGTCATCTTCAAAATTGTCCAAATTTTAAAGAGCAATATGCCACAGATGAAATTTTAGAAATTTTTGCATGCTCAGTACCTGAAGATACTAAAAAAAAAAAAAAGTGAAGGTAATTATATTAAATAGTTATTTTATAGGTGCTTATACAATATATTAATTATTATTATTAATAACAGGTGAAAACATTTCTAACTGCGAAGATGAAATTTTTACTGCTATTTCTGAGACATCAATATCCAATTTATCATCTACTAATGAATCTATTTTATTGTCTAATAAATCTACTCCATTTGCAAGCTTCCCCACTTTAAAAAAAAGACAAATATTTCTTGATAATTGTATTATATGTCAACTATCTGAAAAGAATAAATAGCATTTTGAGAATTTGATCTTATATATAATTGTATCAAATAGTCTTCCTTTTACTTTTATGGAAAACCAAGAAATGAAAGATTTTATAATACCAACTTTAAAACTACCTAATCAGCAGGTGATAAGTAATTGAATTCTCTCAAAGGTTTCAATGAAATTAACTAAAGATATTTTAGAATGTGTATGTGCAGATAGGGTTGGTATAACTGCAGCCTTTGATGGTTGGATAAACATAAAACAGAAGCACCTTTTTGGTGTTGTCTTAATTACTTCTCAGAGTATATCTTTGATTTGGAATGCATGTAATATTAGTAATCTACAGTCAAAAACTGAAAATGTAAAAATTCTTATTAAAAGTGTAATAGATAATGCAGAAAAGGAAGAGATTTGAATTAACTGCTACATATTGGATTTTGATGGGGAGTATGCAGCAGCAAGGTATGCTTAAATATATATTAATATGTTTATATTTATAGATAGATATCTGAATTATTTTTTAATAATTATTATGAATTTTTTTTTCTTTCTATAGATGACAACTAAAAATCAAATATCTTAATAAGGTTTTTATACCTTTATAGCCCATCAAATAAACTTAGTTGTTGGCAATATATTCAAAGAATCTGATACTATAAAAGAACATTAAAAAATGCAATACGTGTTGTAAGCTATTTCTATTTATCTCCCTATTTCACTAGATTACTACAAGATGAGCAAAGTTCATATTATGGACAAACTATCTCTCTTCTTTTCCACTAAGACACACTAGAATAGCATTTACTTTTGCTTTCATTCTATATTGAAAACCAAGGCTGTGCTTAAGGTAATACATTTTATGAATAAATTAAAATTTTTTTCAAAAAAAATTTTGGCACCAATTATGAAACATTAAAATATTTTAATAAAGCCCTATGTATTTTATTTAATTAGACACTTGCAACAAAATTTTTACCTACTAGAATCAGATCAGTTAGTACTTCTTGGAGTGGACTTTCACGGCAATAATTTATGACAGAAAATTCTAATTCAAGCAGAATGCTTTTACCCAATATTATATCAATCATACAAAATTCCAATTTTTAGAATCAACTTTGTGAACTTCAGGATTTGTTATTTCCTTTGTGTGTATGCTAAATAAACTTCAGAAAGATATTGCGAGACTATATGAGATTGTACATTGTTTTGAATAGCTTATTAAGGTTTTTTTAAACTATAATGATGAAAATTTTGCAGATTAAATGGTTGCCCGATTAGAAAATTAGTAGGCAATAAAAACAACCATTACTCTTACTATCATTCATTTTGCATCCAAAATATTGGCTTCCGGGTTTTCTTTCTGCGTTCCCAGCCTTTCCTATACACATTTTAGTAGTAGTTGTATTATTATTACTATGTATGATTCAAGAAAATACCAAAACATATTTTATGTGAATTTTTATCATATCAGAGGGAAGCATTTCCTTTCAATAAAGAGACTTACAATCATTTTGATGAAAATGTTATTGATTTCTGGGATTTAGTAAAGAGTATTGTGCCAGAATTGTCTTGTCTAGCTTTACAACTATTTGGAATATGCGTTAATTTGGCTTTAGTTAAAAGGTTATGGTTAACTATAGGTTTTTTGTATACGAAATACTGAAATAATTTGCCGGTATATACAAATATTTATTTTATTTTGATTTTTCATGGTATTAATTTAGATTCTTTATTTTAAGTATAAAAAAGTGCTAGCAATAAGCCAATTGCGTGGTGATATACTAAGCAAGTGAAAATGTAGTAATATTGAAATATCTGAATGACAATACAAAAGAATTCACATCACAGTTCCTATTTGATTTCAGGATAATAATGAAGATTTTGCACAAGAATCAGAAGAATCATCTGTAAGTAACAATGAAACTTGTTCACCAACCACCAATAATTCGCCAAGTGAAGTGGCTAAAGTAACTGAAACAACCAAAGTAACTGAAGTAACCAAAATGACCAAAGTAACTGAAGGAGACATAGCCGATGAGGCTAAAACTTCTGATGAAGAAGAGGATTGGTCAAATATAATTGAGAACTAGATTGGAATATTATATAATGAAAATTGGTTAGAGAATGGTAAAATTGTAGATGATAAACTACCTGAATTTAAATTTGACAGATGCACTACTCACCCAGCAGATAATTTATCGGCAAAATGGAATTTGTTGGGGTTATTCAATTTATTAGATTCACCTATTTCTTTTGTTCTTCAATAAATTTAATAAAATATAATGAAGTTGATATTGACATCAAAAATCGTAGAAGTTTTAAAAATTTTGGCAGTTAAAATAAAAGTGTTTCTGACTTAAATTTCTAGCACTAATAAATTATTTACACAGGAAATAATTTATACATAGTACCCTAAATAATAGAAAAGCAATTAGCTTACAGATATATGTATGTAGATTCGATGATTTTTTAAAATTATCATTGCAAAAAATTATCAGCCCTGCATACATAATTTCTAAATATGGGTAATTATTTTTGAACCCTTATATATGGTATAATAACATTTTGGTCTGGATTCATCCATATATATTTGGATTTGCTATATGACCTGCAGCCAGTGATGTAAATTGGGTTCGCACAATAGGAACAGCGTATATAGATTTAAATTTGTGTACTCTTCGTATATATAGTGCATGTATAAATTTTTTT